TTTGATTACATTGACAATTATTATTGTCAGAACTATCAGAGGAATAATATGATGATGATTAATAGATCATGTCAATATCTTCATTAGAAGAATTGGTTTCTGAGTCAGATTTAAGTAAACAAATTTTCTCAAGTTGAGAGCGTAATTGCTCATCCTCGATTTCATTGAGAGCTTTTTTGGTCCAACATTGGTTTGCATAGTGACAAGCTTACCACATTTGTGGCAAGATACATCAAGCATTTTAGCTTTTCTTTTGCCTTTATGATTAAAAGTCTTTTCTTTTGGTCTACTTTTATTAAAGTGACCCTTTTTCTTATTCTTCTTATAAGAGTTTTTATAATTATCCTTATTTTTACGAGGTTTATTCCTGAAAAAATTTCCTTTTCTCTTTTTATTCTCAGGAGATCTTCCAAGATCAAAGGCGAACTAGTCACAGAATTCACCCATTTGGTGTTTTTCAGAAAGTTTCTATTTTTTAAGTTGATTTCTAAACTTAATATCATTACACAAGGTTAATCCTTCATTAACACAAGTACTAATAATTTGGCCATAAGTAAGATCAGGATAATTAATATTTATCCCGTCATTTTTACTTCTTAAAGAATGTCTAATTTTTTGAGAAAAGAAATGAGGTAATCCATCAATAAATTTGGCTTTCCAGTAGATAGAGTTAGGGTTTTTTAATTGATAAATTGTAGATAAAAATGTATCTTTGTACCATCTAAAATGTGTAAGGGAGGGACATCTTAGATTGTGAAGTAGAGTTTGAATTTTTTTCTCTAATATGGATATTGGTTCCAACAAAATGTTGAAGGATAGAGAGATACAGTGTATAAACCGCATCTTCTTCTCCTGTGGTGGCAATACCACTTGTTTCGATTCCAGGAACTTCGGACTTAACTATTTTCTTATGGTTAAGAATATCTTTTTTCTGACTATCAGTGAGATAATGATCCCACCAACCTCTTAATTGACCAACAAGTCCAGTTGATATAAAGGAGGCAATATCTTTGTCGAAATTTCCGTGTTGTTTATAAATAGTAGAATACATAATTATTCTATGTATGGCATCAAGGATTTGTTTGTCATTTAATCCATCAATGTTCCATTCTTAAATGGTTTTTCCAGAATACGAATTTTGGAAGGGTTCAAGTTCCTCAAAAAGTAAATCTTGAGGAGAGGGGCTCTTATAATAGTATTTCTCCAAAGGTTTAGATTTATAAATATGGTTTATTTCATTAGTATTTTGATTACTAATGTCTAAGTCAGCAAACATATTTGCTAAATCATTAATGTCTTCTTCATTAGAGGAGTCTTGATTAGACATAACCGTTAAAGGTAAATCTTTAAGATTTTTCTCAAAAATACGGACAAACTCATCTCCGTTGGTTTCCATTTTAAATTCTTCTATAGGAATAGGAGGTTGAATTATAGGAACATCTGAAATATTGGAGGTAGAAGTTTGTTCTTGAAATTTAGGATTATTAATAAGGTCAATAATAATCTTTTGACGAGCTATTTGTTTGTCTAAAAGGTCTTTTACGAATAAGAGCTCTTTTTCTAGAGAAATAAATTGTTCTCCTAGACAAACAAGGTATGCATTAGTATAATTATTGGATTTAATTATGGAATTTAACTCCTTAAGAGTAACCTGATTTTGTTCAACTCTTTGTAATTGAAGGATAAGATAAGGTGTAGCCTCAGTATAAGGACCCAAACTTATGGTTTGCTCTGGGGAAAAAGGAGATTCCATTTTTTTCTCCTTTAATATTTTCGCATGGTTTTTGTAGAACTAAAAGTTCGTCTTTTTTCATAAAAACTAACTCTTCTTTTTGTTTACTTATAAAGTAACTAATGAACCATTTGACAAAAGGAATGAAATCTTGGTTCATAGACATCTGAGTATAGTACTCATCCTTAAAGCTAGCTAACACTGGAGCAGGAAAAGTTTAAAAAAACCATTTTCTAAATTGAGCGTATATTTCATGCTGAAACTCGTCATTGACAAAGTTTCTTAGATTACTACCTGGGGAATAATCTAACATTATAACGGGAAGTCCATATCTGAGGGAGTAGGTGATTCTACTCTATGAGGATTTGGTTTTTGATATATACCATGGAGAATTTTGTTTTCGCTAAGTCTTATATTCTCAACGACTTCTATTTCTTATCTTAATTGAGAAGTTAAAGGTCTAGCTAATTGACTAGGAGCTGTGTAAAAGTCATCTATAAAATTTACAGAATGTCTTCCAGACATAGATCTAGGTATTCTAATCATTCTTTTAAAGTTAAAGTTTATCTCCAAATCTCCTTCATTAGTCTGGATTATTTGATCAACATCTTTATTAAGGATGGGTTCAGGTTCTATGGCCTGAGGAAGATTCCAGGTTTCTGGAAAATTAATTTCATCCCATTTTAGCAACCTATTAGTTGTAACATTAGATGTTAATAAATTAGTTTGAACTAAAGTAGTAGTTCCAGGAAACGATATTTGTTTAGCTTTAGGGTTTAAAGTGGTAAGAACTTTGTAATAAATCCTGTAACATATAACCATAATTTCACTTCTAGGTTTAACATTGTAACCATTGATATGAATAGTTAATTGAAGAGCATCTAATAAATTTTTATCAGACATAGATAAGCTTATATTGGGAGAGACATCAAAATAAACTGGTTCATGACACAGGCTTGTCTCAATTAAAGCAGCTAAAGATTGTTTAAAATCTTTACATCTACCATCTCTAATATATCTCAGGATGCTAGTATTTAATCCTAGCAAAGTTAAAGGTTTAAGAGCAACTTGTATTAAACCAACATGGATATAATTATATTTTTTAAAGGGAAGTAAATCCTTTTTTGTTAAAAGTTTGATTGTCTGAGTACTTTCAGAAATTTGAATAGTTTGTTCTAAGCTTTTAACAGCAAAACGAGATGATATATCTATTTTGCCAAATTTATAAATTTGGTTTGAAGGTACTGATGGAATTGTCCATTTGTTAAGTTTATCTAATTTTTTTTAGATATTTCATAAGTTCTTCATGTTTATTCAAACCGTTTTGATGATTATCATCATCATAATCCATAAATATGATAGACTAAGGATGTTGTGGCTGATTAGCTATGTTAGGTAAAACTAAGTAGGTAAATATAACTCTTGATCTTAATACAAATATATCTAGGCAACAACTGATAAGTCATCTTTGCAAATAAAACGTTATTTAACTATCAATCCTAAGAGATAGAAGGATCTCTCCTAAATCAAAGATGTCCAATATTTTTTAGCAAAAATTTTCTTTTCAAATTCATTTTGAAACTCTCTTCTCCGAAAAAACGATGAATATAAGAAAACACTAAAAAACCTCTTTAGTTTTAAAAAACCCTTATTACTTGTTGCCATGAATATATATTTATTAATATCAAGAGAAGAACCTACATACTTAATTTCTTCTAAGTTATCTAACCTTCTACAACAAAAATTTTAGCCACTAAATAATATTTATTATTAATTGAATTAAGAAATATACCTTAGTTTTGAAATAAGGTGATATTGATAAAGTTTAACCTTACTCTTATGTTTACAAAATACTTCTAAAAAATAAAATTTATTAAATATAGTTGATAGTAAAATATTATACTCGCATGCAATATTCAATTAATAATATACTAATATGTAAATGTAAAATGTATAATAACATTATAGAGAATAAAAAAATTAATAAAAATATTTATTAGTACTATTATTATTGTTATCATTAGGGATTTAATCTATATACAATGTAAGTATTAATATTATTATAAAACTTTAGCAGTATTATTATAATATACTAAAGAAATATTTACATACTATTTAATATTTAATATTATTTTTTGGGTGTAAATACGTAATACTATATTTTTACCAATTATGTATAATATTAATTTTTGACTAATCATATATTTAATATTATTATTTATTATTAAATTTATTAAAGATTTCTATCTATTCTTTTTTTATATATATAGAAGATTTCTATCGATCCTATTTTATCTAAAAATTCAATATCTATTAAATTGTTATTTATTACCAACTTTTTTAAGAGAATAATACTCGTACATTGATCGTAAAATTTTACACAATCAATAAATCACAACTGTTGATTTGTTTTAAATATTTATTTTTTATTTTAGTTTTTATTAAAATAATATATATAAATGATAATGATGTATTGATGGTTTAAATATTTTTACACAGATATTATATATCAATTAATCCCTTTTGCCTTCCATTACTTAGTTATCAAGCATACGGATATTTCGATCGGTATTTGGTCGCATTATTTACATATATTATGTTGTTTTATATTCTTTCAATTTAAAATTATAAATCAGTTTGAAGAAAAAAATTTACGCCATTTTATAATTATAATACAACAATAATATTTGTTTACATCACCAATTTACTATTTATTATTCTCTTCTTTTAATTTATTAATTTTATCTTTTTTCATATAATTAGTAAAATTAATTTTATAGTTTATTTTAATAACTTCTCAATTTTTTTTTTAAAATTAATTACATACTTTGATTTTGTGTAAATTCAAAAATATAATATATTTTAAAAATGAAGTGTGTACTATTTGTATGAATGTGTCCATATTCATCCTTTAATTTAAAATCTTTTCAATTTTATAGATGTTAATAAATTTTAAAAATGGTGTTTTTTTAAAATGCATTTTATGGATTTAAAAAATAAATATTGTCCTTTTTCATTTAAAACAGAAAAAAAGTCGTTTTTATAAATAAAAAAAAGTGTATATAATACTTATTACTTTACTTCTAGCAAAAATTTCTATTTTTTTTACTAACTATATAAAATTATTTTAATAATTTCTTTTTTTATGTAAAATTAATAACATTATTTAATTTGTGCAAATGTTTAAAATAGAATAAATTTTAAGTAAAGAGATACAAAGCTCACCGTTGTAAAATCGTGCTGCTGCAGGAGTTGGGTTCTAATAGCTATGGGTGACGATGATGATGTTAAGAAAAAACGACATCTACGCAATCGTCGTTCAAAAACGCGTCCGAACAACAGCATCTCAAATCAATCGGTTTCCGTAACTGCCACCAACAAGGCATTGCCATCTTTGCCGGTCGAAGTCATGACCGAGATCTTCCTGAGATTTTCCGTAAGATCCCTCCATCAATTAAGGTGCGTATGCAAATCTTGGAAAACCCTCGTTTTAGATCCTCAATTTGCAAAGACTCACCTCTTGAATACAACCTCAATCGCTTATCCAGTATTTTTCAGTTCTGTCTTCATTTTAAAAACCCCAAAAATTGTATTTTACAATGTAGAGCCATTGTTGAAAAATCAATCAAGAGATCCAACCCCTAATGAATCCAACAACTTCAAGATGATGTGTGATTACATTATTTTAGGCACATGCAATGGTTTGTTGTGTCTATTAGACGAAGAACGAGATGTTGTCATATTGTGGAACCCTTTTATGAATTTGAAATCTGAAATTTCTCCACCCCTTGCTTCTCCCTATGGTGAGAATAGTGTTATGTCATATCATGGGTTTGGTTATTATGATCAAGTTAATTTCAAGTACAAGGTACTCATGGTTGTTTTCAATTTCGAGAATGTTAGTCAAATTGCTACCATAATTTACACGTCTGGTGAAAATTCTTGGAGAACCATTCAAAATTTCCCATGTTTTATGAAGGTTGGTTCTCCTAATAATAAGAGGTACTTGGGGAAATTCGTGAGTGGCACTTTGAATTGGTTAGTTAAGAAAGAAGCTAATTCTAACCAAAAGATGATTCTATCCTTTGATCTCGAGAAGGAAACTTATGGGGAAGTGTTGATGCCTGAACACGATGGTGACAATGTGAGCGATCTTATAATGGATGTTGTGAGTAACTGCCTTTGTCTGAGTTACGACTCTAGTGAAACTCATTGGGTTGTGTGGTTGATGAAAGAGTATGGAGTAGCTGATTCATGGACTAAATTGGTGATCATCCCTCATTTGAATACCAATCATCAGTGGAATCACAGAATGGTACCTTCTTTTGTTGACCCATTGTTCAAATCAGAAAATGGTATGGTTATTGTGAAAACTATGCGTTCTAGACTTGTCTTGTATGTCACAAGTAAAAGTAGACCGTCTCTTTGCAATCCTTCTAGATTGATTAGGTTTCATGATCTACATATTTGCCATGAGAGTCTGATATCACCGCAGTGGTAAATCTTATTAGTGGAGTCTTCCAAGTTTTACTTTCATGTTGTATTGTTATTATTGAAATTATTGATGGGTGAATTCCAATCTTTCATTTGTTGGCTATCAAATAAGTTTGTTGTAATCTTTATTTTACTTACAAAGTATGTTTATGCAGTCTTCGAAGATACTTGTATGTTACATGTGAAAGCAATGTAGCAAGGTTGTGTTACAATAACCGACTCAAACTATTTTCATCTACTTGCTGATATATTTTTTTTATTTGGCACTTGCATGGTTGTCAAGATCTTTATTTAAATCTTCAAATCTTAAGATTTTATGACCCCACTCATGCCCAATCATCTAGATTTTAAGTGAGGTCCTTGCGAGGTTCGGCCATGATTGGTCATTTTCTCACCACTACCATTACAAATTGAGCACAACAACTACGGTTCAATGGAGGTGAAACCTCACCTTTTGAAATGATGAAGTATTAGATTTTAGGATTTATATTTAAGATCTTATAGTCTTAGTTACAATCTTATGTTTTAAAATCTATCTACCCTTTTCCAATCTAATGCAAGATCTTGATCTTGACAATATTGAATGCTCGAACGATTGACAATTGCAAATATTAATTTTTCTCAACTCTTATTATAGATTAACTAGTAAATTTCCATATTTGTTAAACATATGTAAGATGTGGTTTTTGCATTCTTGATGTTTCATTTTGAGAAATATGCTCCTTTTATTTTGTTTAATATTTTTCCAGAGCACAAATGAATGAGAAACAAAAATGACTGTGATCATATGTGATTCTGAGATGAAAACTTTGTTGATATAAATTTCGATAAGAAAAATAGTGACTGTTGTGTGTTTGATTCTATAAAAACTATGGTTCAGCACAATGTGTATTTCTAACATGTTTGTTATTTGAATTATTGTGTCCTTTCTATGATGGTTATGTCGAGTCGGCATCTCAACTGTTTGCTATTTGTGACTTAGCTAGCTTGGTTTGGTATTGGATTTTAAATCTGTTGGGGTGGCAATTAGTCCTCCCTAAGGATTTCATTCTCCTCTTCGAGACTTTTCTCTCCTTGGGAGGTGGGGTAATCTAGAAGGGATTCTTTTTTTTATTTGGCATTGTGTGGACCATTTGGAATGACCGAAATTAGATTGTGTTAGTTTGGCTCTACAACAAACGTGAAAGAAGTGGAGGAAAAAAAATTTGTGACTTGTTCTATTGTTTTCCTTGGATTTTATTTTTGTGACTTGTTTGATCTATTGTTTTCCTTTGATGTTGTTTATTGGTTTTTCTTTGTAATTTATGGTATTCCTCGTGCCGCCGTCGCCGTCGTTTTATTTTTAATTTTTAATTTTAATTTTTTAATTTTTGAAACAAAAGGATATTTTATTGAATCAAAAAACCAATCAAGAACAAAGTGACCACAAAGGTCCAACAACACCAGCAAAATAAATATAAACAAAGACTAAGCTACGACATTAGCAGCCTACTAATGTGAGCTTTGAGCTTATGTTTATCCCAACACCTATACACAATAGAATCAATGATGTTGGAGACAGTAACTTGTTGGCTACTGTTAGCCCCAAAGCATATTTAGTTCTGGTACCTCCAAGTCTCATGCACAGTCTCTGTCAAAGCACATCGGATAATCTTTGCTTTCCAACTTTTTTCTTACAAATCTCAATCAACCACTTAAGCTCTTTAGACCAATTTTTAGGAGTGTGATCAATCTTAATCCACTTGATAACTTTCTCCCACATGTATCTAGTAGTAGTGCATTCAAAAAACAAGTGATCAACAGTTTCAACTTTCTTGCAAAGGTAACAAATGTTAGTGTTTAGCATTCTAAATATATGCAATCTTTCTCTAGTAGGTAAATTTCCATGGCAAGCCATCCAAAGAGTATGAATAGCTTTCCTCCTAGTTGTATTACCATAAATCACATTTTCCAGAGAGCATCATCTTGCTGCGCAAAGAAGGCTATATACATCACCTATGTCGTGTATTTTACATTGTTCAACAGAGAAACCCAATCCTACAAGTATCTAACCACCTCCCTTACTTTCAGAAGCTTTTTGAAAATCCAAGAATCAGAGTTTCTCGCGGATACCTGCATGATATTGTTATTCTTTAGGTAATAGTTGTGGATCCATCTAATCCACAAGTTATCCTCTTTGCCATTTAAATTCCACACATACCTAGCTAAACAAGCTTTACTCTAGGTGATCATCACTATAATGTTTAACCCACCTTTAGCCTTTGGAGCACACACCTTATCCCAAGAAACTGGAGAATTACGAGAAACAATCTCAGAACCTGACCATAAAAAAGTATGACAAATGGCCTCAACACTCTTGATAGTTTTCTTAGGAAGAGGCAAACAATGCATTCAATAATTGCTCATGACAAAGAGAATACTTTGAATCAGCTGGGTTCTACCTGCAAAACTTAACAGTCTTGAACTCCAATGCCTAATCCTCTGCACAATTCTATCAATGAGAGTCAAACAGTTATCATGAGTTATCATTTTACTGGCCAAAGGAACAGCTAAGTATTTGAAAGGGAGGGATCCTTCCTCAAACTTGGTTAACACATTAATTTGATGCTTCACCCTATCCTCCACATTACCATAATAAACTCTGTATTTTCCTGGGTTAACCTTAAGCCCAGTGGTAGCAACAAATTCCTCAATGACATTAACAACCAATTGCACAGACCCATTGTCACCTCTAGTGAAAATTAAAAGGCCAGCAGCAAAGCTTAAATCAATGATTTTCATCTTCTCACATTTAGAGTGTGTTGTACCCCAAAATTTGCCCTCCCATATTCTTCAAAATTCACAAGTCAAAGCTTCAAAATCTCCCCAAGGGTTGCACAGTTCAAGGGCCTCCTAACAGTCAAAAACTAGGGTTTTGGTTCTGATAAAGAAAATGAAGTTTCCAAGGGTCCAATCAAGTCCCACATGCTTACAAACATGGTCAAGCATCCTCATACCAAGTTTCAAGACTTACAGCACAAAATTGCACAGTCAAAAACCCTAATTGCACTACAGTCAACTGTAGGGGTAAAATGGTCATTTGACAGTCAAAAGTTCAAATTTTTGGTCAACATCTCATTTTGAAGCCACAAACATCATTTGATCAATGCTTGATCATGATTCTCAAAGTTTGGCTCAAAAATTCTCAAGATGCAAAAGTTTCCATATTTGGACAGTTGAAAAAGTCAACTGTAACTTGACCAAGGCATAATTTCCACATGGATTATCAGAAAAATTCCATCCAAAGCTAATTTTGAAGAGAAAGACATTTCCTATAACCCCTCTTCACACTTAAAGTCCAAGAAATGCTCTCACAAAAAGTTATCAATTTCAACATTATAGGTCATTTTCAAAAGTCAACAAAAAGAGACTTTAAGTCAAAGGCCATAACTTGAGATTGTTAAATCAAAATGACATGGGACCAAAGGCATTGGTTAGAGGACTTCAATACCTTTCCAAAATGTCCAAGAACATGATCAAAGCTTAAAAATTGAGCAAGATATTCCTTGTGGAAGTTGGGAAATTTTTGGGTATTTTGAAAAGTCAACTTTGCTTCAAATGTCTTAAAATTGCTAATGGGCCACATTTTCTTCCAAGATTCATCACCCAAAGCATGTGCACGACCATTTGGCCCAAAAGGGATTTTTTTCATCATTTTTATTATTTATTTGAATTTTTAATTACAATTAATTCATTTAATTAAAATAAATATGTGGAAAATACCAAAGCAAACTTTTTAAATCTTTTTATGCATGGAATAACCTCAAGATTTCGTGCATGATCAGATAGGGAAAGAATCAAGTTGATTGGACATGATTGGTATTAAATATGCATGGAAAAGATTGAAAAATATATGCATAAAAATCAAATATCTTGTACATCAATGCAAAGGGTTTTGGATCCAATTTTCAACCCTAATCAGTTCCAATACTTATACTCATGCAAACCCTAGTCCAAAAGACCTCTAAGCTGCGCCAGAAAAGAAGAATAAAGTTTGCACTTTTGGTGAAAAATTCTAAAACTGAAAACGTGATTCCAAGGCTTTTCAAGGCAAGAAAATCATTCCATTGTGTTCCTGAGGCTTCAAGGAACGTGCCTGAATCAAAACCATCATCCCTAACATCAAGAATTGGTAATTAGAAGTCAGACTGTGTCACTTTTTTTGCATAATCGTGTTTTATTATTCAGGCCATATTCATGCATTTTTATTGTTGATTTATACTAATGAGTTGATTCTGAAGCTAGCAGTATGATTTAATTGAAGAATTATTGCATATATGAAGAGTTGCCATGAACGACGCCTAGGGTTTTAAAAACCTTGAATTGGGGTTTCTCAGTTATGGAAAAATTAGGACGTGAGACTTAGACCATTAAACTCAGGAGGCTTGGACGATTTGAACACACTACTCGCGCTCAATTTATGAGCCACCATATTCTAATCGCTGTTTTTGCACTTGCCATTTAGTGGGGGTTTAAAACCCCCGCTATTTAATCTGTTTTTGTTTCAGGCATAACAAGCAAGTGGGGAAGATGATGATGTGTAGGCTAACGATTGGAGCATTTGAAATTCGCGCTAAAATCTTCCACTAACCCTTGTTTTATCTCATATTGATTTTTTGTTATATAATAAACAAAGCGTTTAGTTGGATCAGTTGGCAAGCATGTGCATTGGTAAGCAACGGGACCTGGGTTCGAACCCCAGGCCCCCCTTCTTATTTTTATATTTTTCTTCTAAACACGTTTCCATGCAGCTCGTTCCTTGAGGTATACCATGCAGCCTCATGATCTGCCATGCCACACGTCCCACTGCATCCATCCAGTGGCCAGGATTCAAGGCTTATGATGTGTCTCAGTCAACGAAGCCACATGCTACCCTGGGAAGTCAACAAAAGGCCTCCAAAGATGGGCCTAAAATGCTAAATTATACCTCCAATTTGGGACAGAACCCCCCAAGGGTTTGCAATTCTT